AAAACGAAACTGAATTTCAAATTTAAGTCCCCATAATTTGTTGCACACATCTTCTATTATTTTACTTATAGTAGATATTCCCAATTTATAGGAGTTACGAAGGTCTGAGAATGAATTACCCGATGCTAAGTATTGTTACGTTGGTATTTAGGAGTTGAGCCTAATTGGCCGTTAAACAGTATTCTAAGGGACCATTGGGGGATAACTGGCTACGCTATATCTACCTTAGGTACTGAGGTTTCCTATTTAATTTATATTCCCTTAGAGGAACTATTATGTGTCGCACTACAATATATATATACTAGGGTGGTCCTAATTTTTCAACATTCAAAATACATATATCTCACCCCCCCATATTGTTCAATATGATGAGAAAGTAATTTGGGTAAAATTTTATCATGATAAACCACCCCCTTCACGTGCCTGTAAAGGGTTACAAATTGACAAAAAGGGTAGTTTTTTAGTTTTTTTTAATTAACTTCAAACCTGATGACTGTAGCGTAAAAACGTATACCAACTTAATTATTGTTCATTAAATTTTGCATAAAAAATAATATAATCAAATTTTCCGTAAGTTCATTATTTCCCGAAAAAAATTAATAAAACTGTAAAAAAAAATTTTTCTCCCAAAATAAATTTTTTTATGGTTATTTAATTATTTAGAACAAATTATTAGAGATACGATAAAATGTTTCATATGAAAGTTGTACAAAATTTAACTTCCTAAAGAAAAATTATATTAATTATTCTTACAATTTATTATTTACTATTTTATTATACAAAATTAGCAAAATTTTAGCAAGAATTTCTTAGAATAAAAATGGAATTATTTTTCAGTATAAAGTTTTCTGATTTCTTTTTCAAATATTTAATTAATAATTTAAAATCACATTGATTATTTAAATACTAATGCATGTTACTATATTATATTACCATAATCTGAGACATCGATTACATTAGGGATGATTTGTTACAATCTGGATATTGAGACCTATAATTTTTAACAATTTGTAAAAGATATTGAGTTTGATTTTCATGTTTTGTAATTATTTTATTATATTCCTCTATAAGTTTGTCACCTCTCTCTGCTGTATCATTTTCAACTCTAATATTTTTAACTATTTCTAAGCCCTTATTGTAAGAATCATAAGTTGACCATGTTTCTGGACTGTATGTCAAAAACTGTTTATCAATATTAAATCGTTCAAAAAACTTGTTAGTGTTAGTCGATACTAATCGATATCATTCGGCACTTCATTGTCAAAAAATGCTATTGCTAGAGTTTCTTCGTTTAAGTACCACAGATGACCACATATTTTTTTTAATGCAGTTTGGGCCACTTCATTATCATAATATGATGACGGATTTTTCAAAAAATTAAAATCTTGGTAGGGCGCTTTTATTGCTAAAGGTGCTGTAAACCAAGCTTTAATGTATAAGCGGATAAGAAATATACATATATCTCGTAATCCTTTTTCTTCATTTTTTGTTAATTTAAATTGTTTGCGAAATAAATAAATTTTGAAGGAGTATAAGGCCTTTGCCAACCACCTTGCATGATGTATAGCACCAAGAGTTTTGAATTTTATTTTCCTATGCCCGTCTCCTCCAAGAAAAATTAATACAAGCTCTAAAAATTCCTTGTAGTCATCTCTACTATAATTCTGTTCTAATTCATGAGAGCAAAACGTTTTTATATTGCTAATTACATCTTTTAATTTAATTTTTACCTCGTCGTCTTCAACTCCACAAGAAAAGTTGGTTAAATCCATTTTATTCCACTCAATTTGAAATCGTTTGAATAATTGTATTTCGGGCCTCGATGAATGATGTTTCATTTTTAATTCAAATATTGAATCCCATATTTGATGCGGTGGTATCACAACAAAGAGCATTCACTTTTTCAGTAAGGTTCCACTCGAGAAGTAGTTGATAGACAGATGCTGCAATTTGTTCACCAGTTCCAGAATTTAGTTTTGGAACTCCAAGAAGCTGTTCAGTTCTATCAAAAGTCACAACAACTGGAAGTCTCTCTTGACGCATTAAATTGCTCGAGGGTAATAACTTACCATCCCAATGAATAATGACTGTATTTGATTCAGTATTAAAATTTTTTTTTATATGTTCAGCTACGTTCTGTCGTATATTTTGACGACGATTCTTAATTGAGGTACGATTAATTATAAGATTATGCACATCATGACCTAATGCTTCTGCGACAGCTATTAAAATATGAACAGCATCTCTGTCGCTAATCTTGCAATGATCAAGAACCGCAACAAGTCAGTCTGTTATAAAATCAATTTTCCCTCGACCACTTATAACAATAGCCGAACTTGTTGATGGACCACAAAGTTTTTCGTCAAGCTCTATGTCAGATTCATTTTCATTTGATGAAGATGTAGAAATGAACTCAATTTTGTTATCTAAAAATATTATAAATTAATACAAATTTCATAGTTTTCAATAAAATATTATTGTTTCTTTTATAGCCAAATGTGCACTTTGACGCATATTTAATTTCACAACACGTAAATTATAAAAGAAAACTAAAAATACTTGTCTATTAGATGGCAATTTACCACCAGTTATTTGATTTGATTCATTCCCCACTAAATAAATATTTATTCTAAGTTTTGTAGCCATTATTAAGAAAGGAAGAAATTAATTAAGCATACATAAATACAAGTATAAAATTTAAAAAATAGTGTATATAATTGAAATGTAACTGACAACTGTGATGTAATCAATAGTATAAGCCATAAAAGTAATTTCCCACTTCACATCTAGCATATTGGTATAAATAGATTTCGATAACAAGTTATCGTCCTATTTTATTTGGAGATTTTTGACAACTTGTTTTATCATAATGGCCAATACACTTAAATTAAAATTATTTTTTTAAGGAAATTAAATTTCGTACAACTTTCATATGAAACATTTTATCGTATCTCTAATAATTTGTTCTAAATAATTAAATAACCATAAAAAAATTTATTTTGGGAGAAAAATTTTTTTTTACAGTTTTATTAATTTTTTTCGGGAAATAATGAACTTACGGAAAATTTTATTATATTATTTTTTATGCAAGATTTAATGAACAATAATTAAGTTGGTATACGTTTTTACGCTACAGTCATTAGGTTTGAAGTTAATTAAAAAAAAATAAAAAACTATCCTTTTTGTTAATTTGTAACCCTTTACAGGCACGTGAAGGGGGTGATTTACCATGATAAAATTTTACCCAAATTACTTTCTCATCAAATTGAACAATATGAGAGGGTGAGACATTGAAAATAATTTAACTTTTTTTTTGTCTAGTATAACTAAAGACCATCCTAATATATACATATATATAATACTTTTGGTTAACGATATAAATATTTATTAAGTAAAGATAATATCTTTATTTATTTAATATGTTATATTAAATAAATAGTACAACTTGCTGGACACCTAGAGATGAAATAATCCAACAGGGAGCTGACGGCCACGCACACACAAAAGATATTTACGTGGTAGGTAAGTTAAGTTAAATATAAGACAAGAGTTATGGTCGCGATGATGGTAAAAAGTCAACTGTTGTCAGGGATATATTATTATGGCACATTAGCCGTGAATTGCAAAAGTGTTTATGTGTGCAGTCTGCCCTCCTGTAGTATTGTCACTGTGTTAATTATAAATATCTAATTAACGGTACAGTGATGTTATGGGAGACATGGGCACATGCTAATGTGATCGTATCAGTTCCTATAAATTAAGCATACGAGCTAATTAAAATATGACGTCAGTATTAATTCAAAAAATGTTCGTAATTTTTTTGAGTAATTACAAAAATTGCTAGGTGGGTATGATATCGGGTTTTTATAGCGAAATCAAGTTCGATAAAAATCTTCGTACTTTTCGGCGGTTAAAGCACAAATGATATAGTGATTTTTATTTATTTATTTAAATTTTGTTGTGATCAATTATAACACTCTTTAATATCTACTTTTATTTTTCAAAATGTACCTTTAGCCCTCAAAATCCCTTTTCTGTTGGACATTCATTTTGAAAATAAATAGAAAACGCTACAGCAAAAAACGCGGCGCATGAGAAAATCATATGTGAGCGTATTATAGGCGCTAGTGTGAAACGGGTCTAATATGGCGAGAAAAAATTTATAAATACGGAAAAAAAAATATCTGAGGTGAAGTTAAAATACTAATTTAAGAATACCTCTTCTGAAAAAAATTAATACATTTAAAATCTTTTTAAATTTGTTTGCGAATATTTGATAAAAAAAATTGGTCAACTTGTTAAACAAACTTATAATAACTCTTCCGTTAAAACCCATGTGTCATAATTAAGTACATTTCATGATTACAGATTATATAATAATAGATTAGGTTTATATCAACAACATTTGAAAATGCTTTTGACATGTAAAAAAGATATTATGGTTTACAATGATTTTATAATTTTATATTATCATAGACATTTTTTTTTAGAAAATATGAAGGTCATTGTTTCATTGTTAGTTGTATTTTATATGATTACTCTGTATTAATTTAAAGTGAAAAAAAAAACAAAAAATGTAAAATATTTAGAGACTAGGATATGAAAGTATTGATATTTGAAGTTTAAAACAAATTGTCTATTCTTTTTCATATATTTTTACGATTATTTAAATCCGTCTTGATTTCGAAATTGTTATTAAAAATAAAAAAATACACAGATATCAATGATTAATAAAAACATCAAATTTTCCTTACAATGTAAAATATATTAATTAAATAAGATTTAAGTTTAGATGAATTTGAAAGCTATTAACTAAAATTCATAAAGCAACAGAGAAAATAATAGAAACTAGGTGTTTTATTTTATTTCTTACATTAATTTACACTATTAACATATCAGTCTAAAAATAAATTCTTGTATTCAGAATTATGAAAGCGTAAAAGTGGGAGTAAATATAACATAATACTTAGTTCCAAGACGATTCAACTACGTCGCCAAATTTAATTCGTCGAAAGTTCAGTATGTTGTTGCACATTGAGAGTCTTCTATAATATATTATATTCTAAGTTTTATCGACTAGTCACATAATTAAATATTGTTTTATACAATATTACTTCTGTTACTATAGAATAGATCAGAAAATTTGCTATGAGTCTTAACCAAAAGATAAATAATGATCATTATTCAAATGAGTATTCAAGGATAAGAAAATTAACTAGTAGATACGATATAAGAACACATTCTGTAAGTACTCATTTGTTACCCAAATACAATATTTTCATATCGCGCTTAACGTTTAATTGTTAAATGAACAATAGAAGGTAGAACTCTTCGAATTATAATCATTGTGATTTCCATTATTATTAATATATTAATGTTTAACGTCATTTATTAAAATCTATGCTTGTATTATAAGTCAATTCATATATAATTATCCAGAATGATCATGCGAACATTTAATTTTTTCTGAAACTTCACTCACGAGTTTCATAGAATATAAATAAAAAAAGATTTTAGATGAAAATAGCTTTATGACCTGTTAAAATTTTGAAAATCGACATTATTTTTCAAAATATCAACATAATCCATGGATTTATACTTCAGACTTCAAAATTTTACTAAATTTTTATTATGGGATCCTCTATTTTTTTTTTTTGATAATTAAAAGGTTTTTTAATTGACATTTTACGTAATTTTCAAAATTAAAACTAACTATGAAGATATTTTTTTTAATGACATTTTTTTACCATAATTTTAATATTATTCATTATTATTTGTTTTGAAAATTTTTACTTTGACTTTTTTTAACAACACAAGTTACAAATAACTGAAATTTCTAAAGTAATAACTTTTAGGCAATTCATTTAATAGTTCAGCAGGTCATTAATAAAAACAATACCCAATTTTTTTGAAGTTGAGGTAAAATTCCTTTTAGCTTCGATGCGAAGCTGAGAAGGTATTAATTTTACTATGATGTGTTTATTTTTGTGTCTAACTTTTTCTCAGCTCTCACCGAACCGATTTCTTTCAACGATACGTCAAAAGATCAAAAATCGTATCTAGTCAAAGACATTATGCTCAAAAATTGAAAAATTTCCCTCGTTCCCCATAAATGGGGGAAACCTCCAAAAAAATTACAAATTTAAAAATCGCTAATTTTTGAAAAAATTTTTTTCTTAAAACTGCCATTACTTTTTCAAAAATTTACAAATTAATATAATTTTTTTTATAGATACTTGATGTCTTTACCTATCATTCGGTATATTTGTTTTATAAATTTAACCCTTTACCTGCCCACAAAGGGGGGATTCAAAATGACAACTTTTTCAATTTAACTGTTGAAAGTGTTCTGGAAACTCTGACATTTTTATATATATCTTAAATTAAAGATAATATAATTTACTTTATTATGAAAAAAACAAATTCGAAATTTATTTTGTCTTCACGGTAAAAATGACTACCAAATTATATTTTTGTGTGAAATTTCTCGATTTTATTTTTTTAATTTTTAACTTAATAATACTATAACTTATTGAAAAGTATATAGATCAACACAATATTTTTATGAGGAATAATAAGTTTTAATAATCCCTTTTTCATTCAGGATATATATAAGGGAATAGTAGATTATGTAGGTTTTGGAATAATCCACCAATTTTTTAAAATTAAACACTATCTAAAGATTTGTATCGGAGCGTTTTCTTTTGATAGTGATTTTGATCACTGTCGGATATCATTATACTTGATCCAATTTTGCCACGTTACCACTGTGCTGGAAACCCTAACCGGACCGATTTCTCTAAACGATACGTCAAAAGATCACAAATCGGGTCTAATTGAAGACATTGCCTTGTTGACAGAATTTCCTTCGTTCCTTGTAAATGGGTGAAAACCCTCAAAAAAAATTACAATTTTTAAATTTTATAATTACATCTCTCGCTAAAAAAAAATTAACTACATTACAGAAATATACAAAGTACTAATGAAATATATTTCAGAATTAAATTTAAAATTAAGAGGATCATGGTTCCTCTGTTTAAAAGTAACACGTGAAATTAACAAAAATATTATAATATGTTACAGAATGAATTCGGGTTGACAGAAGATCAAGTTGCAGGTAATTTTCATTTTATCAAAATCTTACAAGAAAACTATATTTTATATACATATTTCATGTACATATGTATACAGGGTGATTTTTTTATCATAACCCACTCAATTACTTACAGAATAATAATAATTAAAAATTTTTTTTTTATTATTATCTTTAGTTACACATTATTCTTGAATTATTAACTATGTAATACTTTTTAAGTTCATCCCTTATGCCTGGTATGGGTGTCAACTTTGTTTTTTTAAATGGTTTATTGCTATCACAGTTACGGATTGTTTATTATCAATTATGACTATCAATAGATATACATTCTGTATTGTCAGTTAGTGTATTTATATACTCACAACAATGTGTCTTACTACCATTGATAATAACAATAGCTTTGTACCTGCTAATATCGATGTCATAAAAAATCAATTAGCTACCTGAATTTGTAATCCCTTGTGTATTATACCTATATATTAACTCAAAAAATTGAAACTTTAAATGTTTATATCTAATAAACGAATAAAGTTATATTAAAAATTCAAATGACATTTGTTATTAAATTAAAAACTCAAACATTTTATTAAATTCAAAATATGTGTTACCATTTAAAAAAACAAAGTTGACACCCATACCAGGCATAAGGGATGAACTTAAAAAGTATTACATAGTTAATAATTCAAGAATAATGTGTAACTAAAGATAATAATAAAAAAAAAATTTTTAATTATTATTATTCTGTAAGTAATTGAGTGGGTTATGATAAAAAAATCACCCTGTATATTTAATTGATGGCACTCATAGCCCATAGGGAAGAAAATTTTTGGTAGATAAAACCGTAATTAACGCACCTTTTAGTAAAAGGGAAGGTGATACATTTGAAGGGATGCAAAATTAAAAACTATTTTAATAATATAGAAAATTCTTATCTAATAATAGAAGTCACAGGAAATAATGTGTTATTGTATTATAAAGACAAGTTATTTATATTTTTAAAAGTAATTGTTGAGAAAAGTAACAGGATATCATTTCATTAAATTATGTTTTCGTATGAATCCGTCGTTGATCTGTAGTGTATACCGCATTAAATGTATAAAAAGATGTATCTTAATAATAGAATGAAATTTGTTTTTGATTACTAAAATAATTAGAGATGGGATTTTTTAAATATTTTTTATGCAAACGAATACTTAATTTTTAGCATAAACTATTAAATATTTAAAAAACTATCGAATAATTTTTATAAACATTCGAATAGAACAATCGAATTGTTTTCGATACATAATTAGTTCTATTAAAAGTTCTAAAGGAGAATTTTTATTAAGTACATTAAATTTTAATTTATGGATTTCGTTACATTATCTTATGATCTACTTATAAGACAACTGCCTTATAGCTACGATCAGGATTTAAAAAAATGGCTATATAATAACTAATAATATAAGACAAGAACCATTTTGCTGTCTACAATATTTGAGTGAATTCTATTAGGAATTTCAATGCTGATTTCAAATTAATCCTATCTATTTTTGAGACAATTACTAATTAGTAATCAAGCATTACTTAAACAAATAAATAAAAAAAATAATTTTAGTTTCTTTTATCGCAAATGTCCAATAAAAAAAAAACAGAATTTTTTAGTGTCATTGTTATATATTGTATTTAAATATATAAACAAATTTACCAAATGATAGGTTAATATTTTATATATCAATAAAAAAAATTGTATTGATCCATATATTTTTCAAAAAATTATATCGCAGATTTAAGTAAAACAAAAACTTAGCACAGTGGGAACATGGCATAGTTGGGTCTAGTATAGATTTAATCTGACGGTGATTAAAATCACTATCATAAAAAACGCTTTGATGCAAATCTGTAGAAATTGTTTATTTTTAAAAAATTGATCGATTATTCCAAAAGCAACATGATTCCTATTTCCTTATTTATATCCTGATTACAAATTTTATGATTTATAAGTGTAATATATGTATAAATATTTATTATAGTAAATGAATATAAATTGATATTTAATAATTTAGTATTGTAATTTTTACGGAGAAATTATAAAAAATTATTAAGTAGTTATTACTTTTATGGCATACGTATATAAAAATTGAAGGTCTTGATTCAATACTTAAAAAAAAATTATTTGTTATTTATAAATAAATTTTCTGGTCTACAAGGAATTTTCATCAAAGACCAAAATATACTTTTTTAAACCAATTTTTGCGCCGACTTCAAATCTGCAATTAGATTTTTGCATATGGCTTATATAATTACAAAATCCTTCTTATTAATATAACAAATATTTATGTTTAATTATTAGGTTACGTATAAATAATCAATAAATATATTTTAATTAAAAAGTACAAAATTTTTTTTTTTTTCATGATTACGAATATTGCGTTAGCTATAATTTATTATATATATTAAAGTAGCAGTATTTCCTTGACACTTTCAAAAGTTAAGTTGACAAAATTTATTTTTTGTGGAAAAGTTGTCATTTTAAATTCATTTTTCGCAGGTAATGTGTTAGATTTATTAAAAATATGTATATAAAATGATAGTAAATACCTAATCTATTTATAAGAAAGTTATATTGAATTGATTATTTTCAAAAAAGTTATGGCAGTTTTAAGTAAAAAAAATTGAAAAAATGTTGAAAATAAGCGATTTTTAAATTTGTAATTTTTTAGGAAGTTTTTCCCATTTGTGGGGAACGAAGGAAATTTTTACAATTTTTGGGGATAATATCTTTGACTAGATACGATTTGTGATATTTTGACGTAGCGTTAAAAAAATCGGTTGGTGTATTATTCCATAGCAAAAATAACTCTTATTATTTGTTCTACTTCGACTGCTATTTGTCTTATTATTTGTGCTATTTACGAAAATAGGTCGTAGGTACATTTTTTGTTAACTTTTAGTACATAATATACGTTTTATATAAACATATATTTAAAAGACACAGTATTTCCGGACCATTCAAAATATAGGTTGAACATTTTCTACTTTTTATACAAATTTTCAAAAATTCAAACAGGCTTTTCTTAACTTTGAAGAACAAAATAATCAAAATAAGTAAAAATTTATACTTAAAGTAACTTAGATTCATGCAAATTTTACATTTGTTGATGGACTCATTACTATGCCAAACCGTTAAAAAGTATTTTAGAATAAATTAAAAAATAATAAAATAAAATTTTAACACAAAAATAACATCTTTTTAACTATGGCAGCCGTTTGGATGTAGAAGATAAGTCAACACATTTTTTTTTTAATTTATAGTATATTTTATTATAGTATTTATAGTTTATCTTTGGTATTCAGTACGATCAATTAAAAAAACAATTAAAGGTGGGTGAAGAGATGGAAATTTTTTTTTTGTTATTTTAAAACGTCTAAAACTTTAAAAGGAGAGCTGAACGGCTTTAATTGGACGAGTATCCTATTCTTGTTTATCCAAGCTTATAATTTTTGTAGACTTTATTGTATTTTCGTCACGATTAATAGAATTGATAATATTAGTTATTAATTCTATTATTATATTAGAATGATGTGCAATACTGTCAGCAGTAAGGCTTGAACTTGATTCTGATATGTTTTGATACATTATTTAATAAGACGCTCTAATATTACGTACATTGACTTCATGTATAATAATTGTATTTAATTATTATTTATATTGTAATTCATGTATAAAGAGCCTAACAATTCAACTCATTAACCAGAACATTTATTAGATCCAATAGAAGGAAATCATATTTATTTGTGGTATCGAGTGAACGAACATTAATTAATTCACATTACAAATAATTAGAATTTGATTGAATTATATTTGTTTAGGCCTACACAATAAGTGTAGCTATTTTTGTTTTATCTTATCGTTGTTCGGCGGCTGCATAGTTGTCCGGTTTTAAAATCAGTTAGTCTACCTTTGTGAAGCGCACCGCTCGCGTACATATAATAAACGCATATTTATTTTTTCATTCTTTTACGTTTCATTTAATTTATCGAAGATCTTTTAGTCGTAAGAGATCACGCCGAAACAATATTTATATAAGGTAGATAACTAAGTACTTAATAATTAGATTACTTTAAATAAAACTAGATACGTAAAAAACAACCTCTCTATTCGCCTATCAATTTACAATTACTCTTTAAATTATAAGTGGTTAAATAATTTCAAGGCGTATCTCATTTATCTTATTAGAGTAGTAACTTTATTCTTTTTAATAGTAACATACTCCTAAAATTTAATAAAAAATGAATTGTTTAACAATTAAATGATACATATGAACATAAGGTGATAAGGTCACCTAAGGGTATATAAGGGAGTTTTTTCTAGTCGGGGTGTCAATATGTGTTTATGCAAAATTAAAACTATATAAAAAATATTTAAAATATTAAACTCAAAAGCCACAAAACTTTACTGAAAAGTCGCGGTTACGTATTTCGGAAACAATGTTTCCATTACTAACGCCAAACACATACTGACACCTCGACTAAAAAAAACTCCCTTATATACCCTTAGTGACCTTATCACCTTCATATGTATCACCTAATTGTTAAACATATTCATTTTTTATTAAATATAATACAATAAAAAAGTAAGTTTCATTTTTTTGGTAATCGATGTGCTACTACGAACGAATAATTGTATATACTCGTATCATAATAATTAAATGTATTGTAATATTAATAATAAAAAAATTAAATTCAGAAAAATTATTATATAAATGTAAATACACATAAAACTAATAAATATAAGCCGTGTTTGAGCTCAAAGAAATACAAGAAAAATTAATTTAAATACATTTTGTAATAGTAAAAACTTTTGTTTATCGTCTTAAAATCAGATTTTGCAGTAATAAGAATTTTTTTACAAAGCAGTTTTTAAATGAAATTTTTTAAAATTAAGTTTATTTTTTTGTAATATAATTTTTAGTAATGGATATAATTATGTAATTTATTTATTTTTTAATTTTTATCCATATTTATTTATTATATGGTAACAAATAATGTCTTTGAATTTAAAAAAATGAACTATTTTATATATATTTTATACTTTTTTAGAAATGGGGTCTGATAGACCCCCACGCGACTATGAACTTTAAAAATAGGCACGCGCCTGCTAAAGGGTTAATAATAAAAAAAATAGTAAATTTTTGCTATTTTTATTACTGTTTAATTTTAAAATTCAAAGTAGCTATTTTTAACTCTTTTCTTACAAAAACTGTTGATGGGTCGGTAATAAATTTAGTATAAGATTTATTAACCTTTTAAATACATAGAGTGGGTATATAGGAGGAATGTACACCGCTTGGTCATATACATACACCAATACGTGCAGTACCCAACCTCTCATAATGACATATTATGTCCATTTTACCATAACCAATTTTACGGTGGGTAAATAAAATAATTTTACACTCCCAAAACTTTTGTTCTATATGCACCTATGTTGGTATTAAAAAATAATAAATTTTAGAATTTAAGGAAGCATTTATGTTGTTTGATAAGGACCATGATGGAAAAATAACAGAGGCAGAATTAGGTGTCGTAATGAGATCCTTAGGGCAGAGACCAACTCGTTAGTAAACTTGAATATTTCGTTAAATTTAAAAATTTAATATTTGATATAATTTTATATATTTTAAGAATCTGACTTACGAGGGATGGTTAATGAAGTTGATCAAGATGGTAATGGAAGTATTGAATTTAATGAATTTCTTCTTATGATGGCTCGGAAATTAAAGGTATCAGACGGTGAAGAAGAAATGCATCACGCATTTAATGTATTTGATAAAAATGGTGACGGTTTTATAACATTTGATGAGTTGAAACGTGTCATGTTTAGTATTGGAGAACGGCTTACTGATGAAGAAATTGAAGATATGATTAAAGAAGCGGATTTAAATGGAGATAAAAAAATTGATTACAATGGTGAATTTTATGTATAGATTTTATTGAAATAAATACTTACAGTAATTTTTTTTTCAGAATTCATAACCATAATAACATCGAAAAAGTAAAATGTGACATATGAACAATATATTTCATTTCGCTTATGACTACTTAATATTAAGACGTTAATAAAAATGTTCTAATTTATTTTATTATCTGTATATTTCAATAATTCTTAGAATTACTTTGAGAAAATTTCTCAGCTGATAAATCCCATCTTTGAACCCATAAAAATTTTTTTGGCAAAAATGTCTAACCTTAGAAACAATTACGTAAGTATATGGAAGAGTATAAAGAAGCATATTATGTTGTAATATATGGGATTTTCACAATCACTATAATATTGAAAGTAAAATAAAAATTCATCTTAAGAAGATCATAAGAAAATTAATATAGAGCTCTCTAAAATAAATTCTTCGTAGGTCACAAATTTATATATAATTTACAAATAAATATAGTTAACTATTTTTTATAGTTGGTTCGACCATATGAATATTATTCCTAGTTAAATAGTTGTTTTGTCTCTATATTAATCATAACTTTTTATTTGAATAACTATATAGTTTTTTTACGTGTTTAAGTAGATTTTTAAATGTTTTTTTTTTAAACATTATAGGTATATATTATATGTAAATAAGTAAAATAATAAATTCTTTTCAAACATATATCATGTGTTTTCTAGTTATTATTTAAGATATATTGACTTTAAAATTATTATTGATTCATTAGTTCGTTTGTCTCCCGGAATTAATGTTACATAATAATGACATATTAGCAGGCTTTAGAACAATCATCTAAAAAATATTATATTTTCATTCACATACACTAAAAATGAATGCATTCGTGTTTAAATAAATTTTATTTATATAAAATATTGAAAAGCCTAATAGTAAATATTAAATGGCAGAAGCGCCTCCTTAACCATTCAATTTGAGCTTCTATTTATAGATCTCTAAAATGAACCCAACCCTAAAATTTTTTGATTATAAGCAATTAAAACATCAAAAGGTAACACAAGTCTTACAATGTGAGTAGATTTTACTCAATATTTTATATGTTGCTTATGAAAATTTCAATAATAAAAATTTTAATTATTAACACTTGTAAAATTAGTGAGTATAATAAAATTACTGATTCAAATATTAAATTTTTTAATTGCGTAAAAAAATACAATAGTATAGTAGAGTCGCGACACAATATGGACGTGGGATAGTTCAGACAAGTATAAAGATGATATCTGACAGTGATTAATATCACTATCATTAGAAACGCTTCGATGCAAATCTGTAGATTTCATTTGTTTCATTTAGAGAAATTGGTGGATTATTCCAAAAGCAACATAAACTACTATTTCCTTAATTATAACCTGATTAGCTGTTCTTTGAATTAAAAGTATAATATATGAATAAATAATAATTATAGTAATTAAATTTAGTATGAAATTGATATTCAATAATACATTTTATAATTTTTACAGAGAAATTATTAAAATAACAATGCAAATGCAATACTTTTCAATAATAATTTTTGTTAGTTATGAATAAATACACTGGACTACAAGGACTTTCATCAGAAGCAAAAATATACTTTTCAAAATCAACTTTTCATGCTATTTTCAAATCTGCAATTAGACTTTTTCAATCACTTCTAAGTTTTGATATGACTATTAATTTTGAAAAAATGAGTATTTATTTACATATAAAGAAGTAATATGAAACAAAATAATGAAAAAATATTGTTTTCAAATTATTACCGATTTTGATTTTAATATGTTAATAATAATCAGAGCAAAATATCATTTTTATTCATTTTTTTTTTGGATTTTTATAGTGTTTTTTGTGAAAGTTTATAATAAAAAATTATTTATTACAATAACTTTTAATGAAATCATTTAATAGAAAATTTTACGATAATTAAAAAAAATGTATTGTTAAGATTAATGTGCAATCAGGACATTTTATAATTACTATTTATAGTAAATTTAACAGAAAAGCTTAATATTTTTTTACATTTTTATCGTAACAGATCGCTTAAATAGAAATAATAGTAATTATTGCCTAGTAACTTTTGATGTTTAAAAAGATACTACAATTGAAATATTTAGAACTAAATTAATTTTAATAATTTACTTCAACTAAAAATACCAACAAAAAAACATAGGTGTTAAAACGATCTACTGAATACAGAGTATTATAAAATTTGATTATAATTGAAAAAAAACGGTAGCACAGTGGGGTCACGGCATAGTGGAGACATTGCATAGTAGGGTCCAGTATAGATTTAATCTGACAGTGATTAAAATCACTATCATAAGAAACGCTTCGATGCAAATCTGTAGATAGTGTTTAATTTTAAAAAATTGATGGATAATTGCAAAAGCAACATCAACTTCTATTAAAATAAAATACAAAACCCATAATTATCATACAAAAATAGTATATTTTTCAATATGGTAGCCATTTGCGTATAGAAGATAGATCGTCGG